CGGCCAGGTCTTTGGGTCAGCGGATCACTGGTTCAACCGCCGGGTCACCTGGTCAATTGTTGGACCGGATAATTAATTTTAACGATTGAATTATGTTAAATAAATTAATTATGTCCGATTTCGTTTGATGATGTTGATGGCAGTTATACAACGAACGTGGAGGTTGACAGAAGATAACTACGACATCCAATAGTTAGTTGAGAATTTTAGGTGATTCGTAATTGACTAAAATATCGGAAATGTAACACTTACCATATACAACATATTTTACATTTAATACTTTAAATATTAATATAGCAGTTACCATATAATACATATTTTATATACTTAAAAAAATTGGACTACCGTATTATGAAAAAAAAATATTGGCGTCCCAAAATATGGTAGTAGCGATAATTCATGAAATCATAATTATGATATGCATGGTCAAAATTCATCTTGCTATTATTAATCGTTTAAGCTTTTTATAAATATTTCAATGTTTAAGCTTCTTGATAAATAAGTGTACGTAGCACGTGCGATACACGGGACAGATGTATCCCCTGTGTATTAGGCTTGGGTAATTTTTAATTTATTTCCGAACAAAAAATAATTAGGTTCAGATTACAATAAATATGTTGATTATTTATGGTCATGGTACATTTAGTAATTGCATTTTAATAGCATTACTTATATATATATATATATATATATATATATATAATGACTATAATTAGTACTCTTGAAGTCGAATTAGTACAATTGAAGTCAAATAAGTACAACTGAAGTCAACTTAGAACAATTGAAGTCAACTTAGTACAATTGAAGTCAAATTAGTACAATCGAAGTCAACTTAGTACAATTGAAGTTGAATTAGTACAATTGAAGTCGAATTAGTACAACTGAAGTCAAACTAGTACAATTGAAGTCGAATTAGTACAATTGAAGTCGAATTAGTACAATTGAAGTCTACTAATTATAGTAGAAGTCAAATTAGTACAATTGAAGTCAAATTAGTACAATTGAAGTCAAATTAGTAAAATTTAGCGACAAATTAGTACAATTGAAGTCGAATTAGTACAATTGAAGTCGAATTAGTACAATTGAAGTCGAATTAGTACAACTGAAGTCAAATTAGTACAATTGAAGTCTACTTAGTACAATTGAAGTCGAATTAGTACAATTGAAGTCGAATTAGTACAATTGAAGTCTACTAATTATAGTAGAAGTCAAATTAGTACAATTGAAGTAAAATTAGTACAATTGAAGTCAAATTAGTACAATTGAAGTCAAATTAGTACAATTGAAGTCGAATTAGTACAATTGAAGTCGAATTAGTACAACTGAAGTCAACTTAGAACAATTGAAGTCAACTTAGAACAATTGAAGTCAACTTAGTACAATTGAAGTCAACTTAGTACTATTGAAGTTGAATTAGTACAATTGAAGTCGAATTAGTACAATTGAAGTCAAATTAGTACAATCGAAGTCAACTTAGTACAATTGAAGTTGAATTAGTACAATTGAAGTCGAATTAGTACAACTGAAGTAAAATTAGTACAATTGAAGTCTACTTAGTACAATTGAAGTCGAATTAGTACAATTGAAGTCTATTAATTATAGTAGAAGTCAAATTAGTACAATTGAAGTAAAATTAGTACAATTGAAGTCAAATAAGTACAATTGAAGTCGAATTAGTACAATAGAAGTCGAATTAGTACAATTGAAGTCGAATTAGTACAATTGAAGTCAACTTAGTACAATTGAAGTCAAATTAGTACAATTGAAGTCAAATTAGTACAATTGAAGTCGAATTAGTACAATAGAAGTCGAATTAGTACAATTGAAGTCGAATTAGTACAATTGAAGTCAACTTAGTACAATTGAAGTCGAATTAGTACA